CTGCCATCTACAAGACACAAGTCAGGTGTCTGATGGAATACTCCCCACTTGCCTGGATGAGTGCAGCTCCAACAACATTCAAGCGGTGCACCTGACAAAGGGACTGCGCTCCAAAAGCTTGTCTGATTTCAAATAAACCTATTGGACTATAACCTGGTGTCGTGTGACTTCTGACATGGTTCAAAAAGGTATCTCATCACCACGTTCTCAAGGGACAGGCAATAAACACCCACATCCCACAAATGATTAAAAATAAAGTTCACCCCTGACAATTCAAACCAACTACTGATATGATGGCCAACCATTATTTTCCTTTCCACGATGGCCTGCTGCAACCAACTCTCATCTACTGGAACCGGGTGTCAATCAGGTTCTATCTGCCGTGTAGCACTTGATGCAGTCAAGCTCTATCATGGACAAGGAGAGCTTCCTCCTCATTAATATCCTTATCCTTCTTCTTGGAAGGCTGCTCCCGTTCTATTAGTTGCTCAGCATCTGTAACTTTGCCTTGTTGCCCCACTTGTTCTTTGTTGGTTCTAAATGTCTGTCTAATCCTCTGACCTACCAATAATCTTTGCAGATTTGTACAATGTTTCTTTCACTTTCATACTATTCTTAACTTCCTTTCTTAGTCACCAATGAATGCATCCTTCGCAAAGAGCATTTTTTTCCAACTGGGATATATCTTTTCTAAGAGTTATTAAATACCTCCTTAAAATCTGACACTGCAACTCTACTGACCTAATTTTTAACCTAGTTTCCCGGTTCATCTTAGCCAGCTCTGTCTTCATACCCTCGTAATTACCTTTATTTATATTTAAAACATGAGTGATGGATTCCACACTTCTCCCTTTCAAAATGAGCGTGAAATTGTGTCACCACAATGCTCGTGTACCACGAGGTTATTGATTAATCCTGTCTCACTGCACATCAAAATCTTTTTTTGAAATTATTTTTGCAATCTTTGGTCTTTCCAGCATGTTCTGTTGCTTTCTGTCATACTCTGAAAACAGTGCCCAAATTGCTGCCTTGCTCTATCGCTTTGTTCTTTCCCTTTGCTTCACCACACCTTCCTTCACTTTATCCCTTGCACCTCACCATGCCAGACCATAGCCCGCCTCTTGCACCTAGAGCATCTCAGTAGAAATTCATCCTCTTCTTCAAGTGGTAAAGATATTAAGGCTGTGCCCATTTCAGACTCCGAGGTTTCTTCAATACTGGATGAAGGAGGAGAACCCATGGGTTCCAATAGCCTTTCTGGCTGTACTGAGGGGCTGGGTATGTTTTGCTGTAGGCCTGTTTGCAGTTTTGCAGCTTTCGTGGGGTCCACGTGTTTGTACCTGACTGCCTCATCTACCCAAACTTTGTACATTATGGGATCTGACCTCGCATCACCTGCCTCTTACCCATGCAGGACCGTTTCTGTGGTTTCAGCACCAAACTTCATCCCCTGAAGGAAACTGTGTCTCTCGTTTAGAGGAGTCTTGTGTCCAACATTGGCGTTGCTGATGCCATTTCACCCTCCACCCACCCCCAGATCCGGGAAAATCAGATTTAACCTGGTGCGGAGTCTTTTCCCCATTAGCAACTCTACTGGAGCTACCCCTATACTTCCGTGAAGGGTGGTCCAATAATCAACTAGGAACTGGGACAGTTTGGTATTGAGTGACGCTGTATGTTGTTTCTTTAAGCCTGCCTTCAAAATTTGGACTGCTCTTTCCACAAGACCACTGGATGATGGATGGTATGGAGCTGTCCTTATATACTAAATGCCATTTGACTTTAGGAAATACTCAAATTCTCTGCCGGTAAATAATGGCCCATTGTCTGTGACCAACTGTTTCAGGAGTCTGTGTATTGCAAAAGATGGAGCTTTTCTATTATCGTCCCTATGTTTGACAAATAAACTCTATGGACATCTAACCACTTTGAGTGGGCATCCACATGACTCAGAATGTTGAGCCCTTGAAAGGACTGGCACAATCGATGTGTAACTGAGTCCAAGCTTTACCCGGCCATTCCCATGAATGTGGGGAAGCTGCTGGCCATAATTTTTGTCCTTGTTGGCTCTCTGCGCAGTGCCCCACCAATACAGTTATGTCTGCATCCAAGCCTGGCCGCTTCTCACCAACATCTTAATTTTGGAAACCCCTGGATGACCCTGGTGGAGTTCAGCCAGTATCTGGTGTTGACCTCTGCTTGGGACAATCACTCTTGCTCCCCATAACAAGATGCCATCCTCTACAGTGATCTGGTCCAGAAAGGTTTCAGTTCTGATTGTGACAGCCCTTTTGTTTCCCCCATCACCACTAGCTGTTTCAGTTTTGCTAGGACCAAACTTTTTTGTGTGCATAGTCTAATATTGTCAGTGGTGACTGGAAGGGTATCCAGAAAGTTTAAAACCAGACTGCACTCTTCCAGTGGCAGTACCACCAACGGTGTAGCTGCAAGCAGGAAGTGGCTCAAGGCAGCCATATTTGCTACCTGGCCTCCCGGATGGTATTTGTCCTCACTTAGAACCACAGCCCACTGATGAATTCAGTCTGAAGTTATGGATGGCATGGCCATGTCCTCTTTGAGTAGCATCTAGCAGGGGATTGTGGTCTGTTGCTATTACAAATTTACATCTGTAAAGGTTTGGTGGAACCTTCTCACACCAAAGATGACAGCCAAACCTTCCTTCTCTATCTGGGCATATTTACGCACTGCATCAGCCCAAATCTGGGAAGCATTTGGGCCATCCGTGAGCCAACACTACCCCGATACCATACAAGGATGCATCGCATGTCAGCACCAGATCTTGCTTGGGATTGTAGCATGCCAACACCTTAGATGATGATAGCTGCTTCTTCACTTCTCTAAAGGCTACATCTTGGCTACAAGACCATTTCCAAGGCTGACCCTTTTTCAGTGGCAGATGTAAGGGTGCCAAGATGGAGGCCTGGTTGCGTATGAAATTTCCACAATTATTCAATAATCCAAGGAAAGATGTAAGCTCCAATCCAGATGTGGGAATCGGGGCACCTTTGATCATCGTCACTTTATCTTGAATGCCCTCACTTTACCTGCCAATGGTGGTATAACCTGGTCTTGTCAACTCTGTAGCCCAAGTAGGTCACTTGGGGTGTCTAAAGCACACATTTTTCTCTTCTAAGGCGTAAGCCTGCCTTGGAGAAACGTCTAAGGACAATGTCCAAGTTTTTTAAGCACTCTTTATTGGTCTTCTCTGTTATTAGCACTTCATCCAGATAAATCGCAACCTTGGGTAAAACTTGTAAAATGTTCTCCGTCATCTGCTGAAAAATGGCACAGGCTGAAGATACCCCAAATGACAGTCTCGTGCATTGGTACAAATCCTCATGGGTATTAATTGTAGCATAATAAGAAAATGTTAACCATTTGATCAAGGCTTGGCTTTGTTTTGGGGTTTTGCTGTGGGCTGACCTAGAGTCCCTCCATTCAGGATATTGTCTGAGTGAGGCTATGCAATTGTCTTCACTCAAATGGTGGCTCTCCGCACCCCCCACCACCCCCACCCCTAGGTCAGTCAGCCTGGTGAGGGTGTCCACTTCCATCAGTTACCCTATAACTCATATGCTGCACTTGCCATATTTCCAATGACAAAGCCCTTTGTGGTGCCTGTTTGAAGTTCAGTTGGGCTTCAGCTAGCAGGCACTTTTGCATGGTTACATCATTAATCCCATATGCCTAACGGTCTCTCAGCATCTCATTAAGGGTTAAACCAAAGTCACATGCCTCTGCCAGTCATCTTAACCTTGTCAAAAATCCTGACACAGATTTCCCTCGTTCTTGAACTGCGTCATAAAACCAATAGCGTCTCAGAATTAAAGGAAGCTTGGGGGTCATAATATTCCTTAATTAAGTCCGTCAACTCTTGAAAGACTATAGTATCTGGTACCTCAGGACATGTAAGGCTCCTAATAACCAAAAAAGCTGTCAGGAGAATTACTTGTTGCTTTTCATTGCTCTGTCATTTGCCCAAAAAAAGTAACTCATTCTTTCCACATACTGGGCCCGGGATTGAACGATTCAAGCTTCCCAAATAATGGCTTGATGCCAGAAACACTTACCCCAACTCAAAGACAACTGTTGCAAGTGAATTTCCTCAGGTTCACACTTTTTTCTCTTGTCGCCACTGAAATAACTCCACAAAACCGGTATCCCATCACCAAGTTACCCTTTATTTACACGTGCATAGTACTTGACACTGGTCCAGCTGCCTCAGAGCCAGGTCTCAGAGTGAACAGAACCTCTGACACTTCTGTTTATATCTGTGAGCCAGGACTCCCCAGTTGAACCAGGTTAATAGCCCGAAACAGGGCACTCATATTCTATGATGTCTACCTGACCTTGTTAGAAAATTTGATTGCAACAGATAGCATTCCAAACATGCTTAACAAGTCCTGCTTGCAAACCTCAGAACACCATGTCTCATTTTAGAGACAATTTTGTTCATAGACTGAATAATTCTGAATAAATCGGACTGTTTTAAGCTGTTTTGCTCAAGATTTCTCTCAAAACCATGTATGCTTTAAAGTCAGGCTCATGGCAAGATGGATTTCTGTTTGCTTGAAGCTACATATATTATCGTACAGAACTCTGTATGATTTTTCTCATCATTCCCACTCTCAACTTCGCATTCTTCTGGTTTTCACATTTAACAAACCTCTTGAGATTCCTGTTTATTAACAACAAGGTAATTGAGCAACTACAGAAACTGAATTCAGAATATTTGTGTGGAAATGCACACCTTTGTTGCAGAAGATGGATGGTCCCTTTGCCCTTTGATGCATTGAAAGCAGCAGATGCTGTACAAAAATGTCTAATGAGAGAAAATATTAACTTTGGTATTCTTTTCATTGGCTGCCACAGGAAAATTTCACTATTGTGTTTTTCTTATTATAATGAGAAGTAATTTAGGTGAGCCTATAAGTTAACAAATTTTCATTATTAACTTTTGTTTTCCCAATAAAATTTAGGCACGACTGCCTGTCAAGTGGATGGCACCTGAAAGCTTATTTGAAGGCAGTTACACAAATCGCAGTGATGTCTGGTCATATGGAATCTTATTGTGGGAAATATTTTCACTTGGTAATGATTAATATTTCATATTAATCCAAATATTGCCTCATGAAAATTCGACTCAATTGCATTACCTAATTTTATATTTTAAATATTTGTCAAGGTGTCAATCCATATCCCGGAATTCAAGTGGATTCTAACTTCTACAAGTTAATTAAGAGTGGATTTAAGATGGATCAACCATTTTATGCTTCTGAAGAGATGTGAGTTTCTCTATTTTTCTATTTTGCATAATAATTTAAACTCTGGTGTATTCACACAAATAATGTATTCACACAATGTATTTAAAAAATTGTGAAACGTTTTGATATTATGAAAATAGGAGGGAAAGAAAGCCGAGATTGAACGCTTGGGCCAACTTTGCTCTGTGGACCTGCTCTATGAGTTTTCTTCTGAAGAAAGCTAGAAAAAACATTGAATATTTAAAGTTACTAAACACACTATATAATGTCCCAGGAACTGGTAGGAAGACACAAATTGATATGATGATTCTGAATATGGCATGTTGTCAAATCTTCAGGTGGTTCGAAATGGAAACTAGATTATTTCTCATGGGGGGGGCATTTAAATGTTATAATGTCTAAGCAATTCTGATGCCTGATTAACAATTGCAATGGCATGAGCCTATGACCTGACTGTCTTTCACGGTCTCTATTAGTCATGATCTGATTTATGCTGCAGAAGAAGTCTAAAAAAACTTTCAAATCAAATAAATGCTGTATTGTGATGCCTGCTTGTAGTTCTTCAAATTCAACTTTAATAATTCATTCAATCTTCATAAGATGTAATTTTCAGGTCACACTGTACAAACATTTTCAAACAATACATGGAATGTATTGTTGAAAGCATTTGTTGCAGTTCCATAATTTCTGAGCAATGTATTACTGTGCCTACTTATAACATGCTTCTAATTTCCTATTTTCATAGATACAGCGTGATACAATCATGCTGGGCTCTTGATCCACGAAAACGACTCTCATTTTCAGACCTAGTTTCTATTTTTGAAAAGCAACTTGCGGATGCTGAAGTAGCTGTAAGTGAACAGTCTTACAGGCAGAATTAATAGCATATTTACAGTACTTGAAATGAAAGCATTTGTCTACAAATGAAATAGCTTATTTATACAGCGTTCTTTATGTCCTTGAGGCTTCCAAAAGTACTTCACAATCAATGCATGTCTTTTTGAGTATAGTCTCAGTTATGTAGATAAGCCTGGCAACCAGTTTGTACACATTGAGTACATAAGGCAAGTCATCACTAACAAAAAAAATTAGACAATGCTGCAGAAACTCAGCAATGCCAGTAGCTTCTGTGGAGAGAGAAACAAAATTAACATTTTCAGTCAGATATGACTTCTTCAGAACATTAGCCATCACGTAATGTGTTGTTAGTGATATTGGTTAAGGATTGAGCAGGAAAACAGGGGAACTTGCAGACAGTGCCATTGGATCTTTGATGTCTATGAGCACAGGCAAAAAGAGCAAACCACCACCAATGCTGCATTCCCTTAATCTTATACTGAACTGCCAGTCTAGATTATGTGCTCAAACCATACTGTAGTATTTGAACACGTCACCTGATTCAGTTGCTAAACTGACATTATTAGATTCAGATCCAAGATTTGCTTTTATTAAATTGCAATAATTATCTGCCAAATTGGTTTATCATTACCTCACTTAATTAATTCAGTTTGAACTGGTGTTTTTTTGTAGTCATTTTGCATGCACTAATTTCCTATTAATAGTATTGCATTACTAATCTCCTACAAACAGTATGCAAAGAGTAATGTTAGTTTAAAAAAAAATTCCTGGAAGATTTTTGTCTTGCACATGTCAGGATAATTCATAACAAACACTCAAGAAGGGTTAGAGGGATATGGGCCAAATGCTGGCAAATGGGACTAGATTAATTTAGGATATCAGGTCAGCATGGCCAAATCGGACTGAATTATGCTGTGTATCTCTATGACTCTCTTTGAAAATGGCATGGATAATTTATGACAGGATAAGTTTGTTTGGCTGGGCAATATAATGAATAGTTTTGGGCCCCTTATCTAAAGGAAGATATAGTAGCATTGAAGGCAGTCCAGAGAAGGTATCAGGTATGGAGCAACTATCACATATGGAGAACTTGAATAGATTGGGCCTGTATTCATCGGAATATCAAAGAATGAGAGGCAACTTCTTCCTCTAACAAAACCCCTCATGGCGTTTTTAACTACGGCTAACACACTATACTATGCATGATGGTGCAAATGTTTGGGCATGGCCAATCTACCTAACCTGCACATCTTTGGAGTGAGAAAAGAAACCCACAAAGACAGTCACCCAAAGCTGGAACTGAACCCATGTCCTTGGTGCTGTGAGGCACCAGTGCTAACCACTGTGCCCCTATGCTGCCTTATTCAAGGCTGAGCTAGACTTTTAATCAGCAAGGGAATCAAAAGTTATTGGGGAAAGACAGGAAAATGGAGTTGAGATAATCAGATCAGCCATAATCGCACTGATGGCTAAGCAGACTTGATAGGCTGAATGGCCTACTTCTCTTCCTATGTTGAATAATCTATGGTTAGTGGACTTTGATTGGTAGAGGTGTTGCCAGAGAGAATGTATCAGTTAATGGTGACCGACAGCTGCCAAGCTTGTTTAAATTTTAAACAAAGCAAGATTGGTCAAACATGAAATGAACCAGAGAATGGTTGTTACCTATTTTGTTCAGTTTGAAATATACATAGTGTGTGCATATATTATTTCTGTCTGCTCAACAAAAAACAGGAACCTGTGTATTAAAATATGTAGCTTATAGTACATGCAAATGCACCAGACTGCAAATCTGTCTGACAATCCGAAATTGATTCTCAGTATAATTCTTCACACACTCAGGATTACATAGCAAATGCTATCCAAATGTGGAATCACACCAATTCTTGGCCATTATGTTGTGAGTTTTGTAAACATGGGCTGGATTGGTACGGTCATTGCCTTGCTTGTGATGAACAGCCAAAAGGATACACAGTTTGATATGATCAGTGCAATACTTTCTCAGTACTGCACGGGGATTTCAGCCAGAAAGTTTGGTCTCAAGCCCCTGGAATAGAGCTTGAACTTTTGAATTTCCTGTTTCAGAAGTAAGAGAGTTACCAACTAAGCCACTGCTGTCACTTCACAGCTGATAGTGTATCTTGTTATTAATTGCTTTGCAAGGTGGACAATGATCATGGTGTCAATTTTATAAAAATCCTTACTTTGAGATTCATCTCTACATATGTCAGATTTTTTTGAAAATATACTTTTTCACTAATTTGTTGTTTTATTTTGCTTTTATTTAGCTTTATCATAACTTAAAGGTGTGCAAATACAGTTCAAACTATAAAAACCTCCCTATTAGTTCTAAGGAGCGCACCAGCATCCATTCTGCCACATCATTACTGAAGGAAAGTACTCCAAAGAATGAAGATGTGCAAATGTAATTTTTCTGCAGTATGGACCATCAAAGATAGGTGGTTTCACTGGACATTGGATGTTTTCTTTTCACCACTAAGCTAATCAATGACTGTCTCAGCTGCTAACATCAAAAAGGTTGCAATTATTGAAACAGTTTTACTTTTCTTCTGTGGTAGTTCAGTCGTTTATGGAAGATTGGGCTGTCAGAAATTTGTATATCTCTGCTTGTGTTATAGAGTATTGAAAAATGTTAGGTTAAGAACTATGTAGAAATTAAGGCATTTGCAATTAAACCACAAAAATTAACAGCTCAAAGGTGATGAAAGTTACAATTTAAAAGAGATGATGAGCTTACTGTATGAACTGGATGATGTAGCAAACAGCACTGGGAGTACAGAGATTGTGGCTGTACAGGTCGACAATGATGAAACTGCAATTGAGATTGGAGGAAGTCCCTGGTCCAGTATATTAAGAATAATAGCTAACTGTCTATTAAATTGTTGTAAAATCCTATTTGGTTGACTAATGTCATAAGGAAATCTATTGTTCTTTCCTGGTCCTGTCTATATGCAACTCCAGACCCACAGCAATTGTGGTCAAGTTTTAACTGTCCTCTGAAGCGGCCTAACAAGGCACTCAATTACCAACAAGTTGGCTCACCATCACCTTCTCAAGAACATTCATGGATGGATAATTAAAGCTGTAGATATTGGTGGTGTTACCCATATGCCATGAATGAAAATAAAACAAAAGTACAATAGGCCCTATCTAAAGCAGATAATACTTAAAAAGAAACTTTATAAATATCTGGTTAGATTTGGGATCAAATCATCTTAGGATAGATAAAATAGGGATGATCAAATGCTGTGTGAAATATCATGATCCCTAAGTCACTGAGACAATGAAAATCATTACAAAAGTTTGCACATTACAAAGAAATATCATTACAGGTCTATCACTGCTCAAGATATGGAATGTAGATTTAAGATAATTTTAGGGGCCTTTGCTTGAATTACTGCCGCAAATATTTGCATTTAAATAGTGCCTTAGTGTAGTTAAAAAGCCCCAATGTTTCCTGAGAGCATAATCTGACAGAAATTTACAGCAAGCAAAAGAAAGAGACATTAGATTACATAACTATAAACCTGGTAAAAGAGGTAGGTTTTAAAGAGTGGTTTGAAAGAGGAGACAGGGCTGGAAAGATGAAGAGGTTTAGCAAGAAATTCCAGTATTTAAGGCCCAGATGGCTGAAGACATCCCCACAAATAACAGGAGAAGGAAAGCAGCAGATACACAAGAGTCGAGAGGCAGAGACATGCAGCATTTTCAAAAGGTTTTAGGGATGGAGAAGGTTATACAGATCGTAAAGGCTGGAGAGTGATTTAAATGTGAGGATGACAATGTATGTATTATCAGAGAACAACTTTTCATGGTCTTTCTTCACTGATTAAATAGATTGGAGAAAGTGCAGAATTGAGAATAGTGGGCGTACGGTAGAATGGATTTGGTGAACTGTTCCCTTATTGGTAAACTGTTCTTATGTCATAGTGACATTTGTTAAAAGTATTTCGCACTTAACAATACAAAGTATCGAATTTTTATAAATGCTAAAATATGTTTTTAAGTAAGAAAATCTAGAATGTAAAGTTAACTGTCCTACAGGTTCTTGAATCTGCCTAATTTAAGAAGTTGCCTATCCCCTGCTACATACAACCGCTTAGAGGATGGATAGCCAACAAATTTCAGACATATCACAGTGTTGGCTGCACAGTGGGTCAGTAGTTAGCACTGCAACCTCACAGCACTAGGGACCTGAGTTCAGTTTTAGCCTTGGACAACTGTCTGTGTGATGTTTGCATGTTTTCCTCCTGTTGGCATGGGTTTCCTGGGGAAAAAGCTATTTGTGCAGACTAGGTGGATGGGCTGTGCTAAATTGCCCCATAGTATGCAGGCTAGGTGGATTAGCCATGGGAAATGCAGGCTTATAGGGGTAGGTTAGGGGTCTAGGTGGGGTGCTCTTCAGAGAGTCAGTGTAGACTTGATGCGCCAAATGGCCTGCTTCCACACTGTAAGGATTCTATGACCATTCAAGTGAAACACTAGAATGTAGCTAAAGGAATACCTGTCCTTCAAGCTTTCCCTTCATCTTTGAAAAGAACTGATACCTATTTGGCATTTTCTTTGACATGATTGAAAATGGAAAAAACTGTAGCAAATGCAATTCAATTTAGGCAGATGAATGATCATCCATCACGGACCTAAAAAGGACAGAACAGAGTACTATCTAAATGGAGAAATTTTAGAAATAGTGTGGCTCTAAAGAGACTTGGAGGTTTAGATGAGTAAATCATCAAAACGTCATGTTAAGGTATAGAAAACAATCAAAAAGCTGTTACAGAGAATTTCTGAAGAAGGGTCTAGACCCGAAATGTCAGCTTTCCTGCTCCTCTGCTCCTCCGATGCTGCTTGGCCTGCTGTGTTCATCCAGCTCTACGCCTTGTTAAATGAAAAAGCTGTATTAGCTTGACAATTTCAGAAGTTTATCAGGATAAAATTTGGACTGTAAGTGTTGAATTTCAAGAACAAACTGCAGTGCAGCCCCTGGAATTTAGCTACCTTTCAGGAGTGAAATTAGGAAACACTTCTACACACAAAGATTTATACAAGTTTGGAAATCTTCTTCTACAACGACTATTCATACCAGATCAATTTTTGTCTTAATTCTGAGATTGATGGATTTTTTTTCAACAAAGGTATTTTTGGATAACAGCATAGGCAGGTATATGGAATTGTTACAGATCAGACATCATCTCATTAAATGTTGGCACAGCTTGAGGGAGCTAAATAACTTAGTCAATCCAATGTTCCTAAAAGCTTTAAGAATTCCTAAAGCTTGTATGCTAGCAAGCCCTCTGAAATATTCCATTTGTAGAAAACAACAGTCAGATGAGAACAGTTGAGCTGCAGGGTCAACAGGTTTGTTTAGGTGATTACACTCAGAGCTGTTGTAATGCAGTGTTCTTCAATTTGTGATCCTGGGAAAGAATGCTGCCCATGCTACAGGTTATCAGAGATTGTACCATTGTGTTTGGAAAAGCACAATGTGGATGTTTCAAGTCATTGATAATCAATATAAAATGAATTGATCAATTAGGTTTGACAGCTACTTTCCCGGAATTAAATTAATTTTTTAATGCTTTCTGATATTTAGTCTATCATTGTCAAACAAAAGTGTCCTTCTGCTATTCAGTGAGCCATGGGAGTCGGGGGAGGGGTGTGCGGTGGTGGGGTGGGCAGGTGCTCAGAGTAGTTTTCATGCTATTTTCTTATTTTCCTTGTAAGTAGGATTGTAGGATTCAATTATTATCAAAATGCCCTGTAAGGGGAATCAAATGGATGAAATAACAATCTGTCATACTACAGTGTTAATAGCTATAATCACCATGCTGCTCTTCCAAAAAGAACTTTGAGTTCTGTTGTGAGATTGGGAAAAAGCTATTTGTATCTCCAAATAGGCATTGTATGGTGCATCTACTCCACCATACAGTATATCAATACATCTAACATACCTGGTTACAAATATTTCATTGCTGCAACATATATTTCTATATTTATCTATGTTCTTAATTTTTGGATTTATGCTTCTGCATTTTTAAATTCTTAAAGTTCTATTTATCTTACTGATTTGTTTATTAGTGTAAGTGCTTTGCCATTCCAGTCATGTATGTAGCATATATCACCATTGATCATTCAGCTCAGTTGCAGGGTGATATTATGGCACAGAAATAAATGGAACCTAGGTAAACGAAGCTAAAACATTTTTGGGTTGAATTTGAAGTGGTCAAATTAAAATTAATTTAAATCACATGAACCATCTGTGCAGCCCAAATCTTTACCTGGCTTTTACTAATTTATTAATTATGAAGAACTTTGAAAAAAATGAAAATGGAAAATTGTTACAGATCAAGTGCCCCTCTGCAATTCAGATTAAAACATGTTGCTGAGCATCGTGGCAGTTCACTAGATTGGACCTCGGCCTATACATCCGGTTCACTTACAGTAAAAAAGCCACTTTTACGAAGAACAAACAACTATTGGATCCAACATGTTTGACCCTTTTTGATGGGTCTAAGACCTACCTACTTTCTTTCTCATCATATGCTTCAATCCCTTTCCAGTGTGTCTTGACTCCTTGTGCACAATTAATTTTAACAATTTTTCCTGAGAGCCTAGTTCTATTAGTAGTACCCTTAGTATTAAAGACATTCTAACTGGTTTCCTCACTGCTAACTTCCTTATTTTTTAACTTTGTACACCAGTATATTTTAACTACATGGCAGGCTCTTTAATTTTAGCAATTTATGAAGGGATAGTGCGGTATGTAAACCAAATACTGTTCTGCAGAAAAGAGAAAGAAATTAGATGTAGAACAAACCTATGCTGTTTCTGTGCACTTCTTAGCCACAGTCTATTGAGTGTGTGTAGAACAGAAGTTTAGCTGCTGCTTTAGTTGTGAACAGTGCACAGTACAGCGTAGATGCTAAAGAAGAAAGAATGCATTGTTAGAGTTATATCGAGAGAGATTTTTATTGCAGTTAATCTGTGCCATACTTACTCTTGAAGACCTTTATGCTGCCATGACTGCGTGTGTAATAGGAACATAATTACTCAAACAATCATTCCTTAGCTGATGGGTATTCACGCTCAAAATATAACAAGCATACTTATTACCATACAAGAGCTACAATAATTATTAGATTGCTGCAATATTACATGTATACTGCTATTGTATAACGTGAGTAACATTTTTTTGACTTTGCATTTCCATCTTCTTACACTGTATGGATAATATTTATAGGATTGAAGTGATATTAAAAACTACAAATATTGCTTGTGTACTTTTTTATCACATTTGAATAAAACGTGGAGTTGAATGACAAATCTCTTGATACCTATGTAAAATGCATGTCTTATTCATAATTTTCAGAAAAAGCAAGCACCTTTAACGAGTCATTAACATACAATGAAGCAATAAGTGCTCATATACTTACGAACAAATGAATTTAGAGCAAGAGAAGGTCACTTGGCCTCTCAAGCATGACCTGCCTGCCATTCCATAAAATATTGGTTACTCCCCATTCCTGCCTATCTTTTACCCTTTACACCCATGCCTATTGAGAATATATCTACTCTATTCAAAGACTTTGCTTCGACTGTCTTTTGAGGAAGAGTTTCGAAGACTCAACACCCTCTATGAGAAAAAAACTTTTCATTTCTATGTTAAATGGGCACTCCATTATTCATAAACAGTGACCCCTAGTTCTAGATTCTCCCACCGAGAAACATTCTTTCCCCATCAATGTTGTAAAAATGCCTCAAGATCCAATAAGTTTCAATCAAGTTGTCTCTGACTCTTCTAAGCTCTAGCAGATAAACACCTAGTGTTTCCAACCTTTCCTCATAAGAAAACTGGCCCATTCCACATATTGTGTGGTAAACTCTCTGTAAGCATCTGACTCTAGACTTCCAGCAACATAGTTGACCCTTAACCACCCTTGCAAAAGATCTGGAAAGTTGCTCAGTTCAAGAGCAATTAGGGACGGGCAACAAGCGAATGACATGCACATCCCATGGATAAATAAATTTTAAAAACTTTTAAAATTTAAAAAAACTAGTAATAAATCATTACTTCCTCTGTCCTCACTATCCAAGGCCCCAGACACACCTTCCAGGTGAAGCAATGATTTACATGCACTTCACTCAATCTAGTCTACTGTGGTCTCCTCTACATTAGGGAAATGAAACACAGTCTGTGTGACCGCGTTCAGAACACCTCCACTCTGTCCAGAAGCTTCCAGTTGCCTGCCACTTCAAAACACCACTATGTTCACTGGCCAACATCTCAGTCTTGGGCTTGCTGTAGTGCTCCAGCGAAGCCCAGCGCAAGTTGGAAGAACAGCATCTCATTTTCTGCTTGGAGACCCTGTAGTCTTCAGGACTCAATATTGAGTTCAATAATTGTAGGGCCCGAGCACCTTCTCCCATGTTCTTACACCAGCCCCCACGCACCAGGCCTTGACATCACATGAGCTGCTACCACAACCAACACATTGTGAACCACTAATGGTTTCCAGTATTCACTCTCACAGGCTGGCCCTTGCCTATCCCTTTATCTTCTCATTGGTGATCTCTCTCTCCGGGATTCATCTCCACTTATCATTTACTCCTCCCATCCTCCCCCACTCCATCTTCAGCATATATACCAACCTTCACCTCGCTACAATCAGTTCTGAAGAAGGGTCACTGGACGTTAACTCTGCTTTCACTATGCGGATGTTGCCAAATCTGCTGAGTTTTTTCAGAATTTTCTGTTTTTATGGTGAATTAAATTTGCTGCTTGCTCCAAATTACCCCGACAGATAAGAAGATCGCAGGCTTTGCTCCATGGTGTTATTGACCAGACCAAACCCCTCAAAATACATTAAGAAGATCGCCTAGACCCCAACATTTTCTCATTTTTAAAGGCAAGTGTAAGGCGTTGTGTTCTGGATGCAATTCGACTGGTCAAACCACCAGACCTGAAGCAAAACACACTTTATTCTTACACTATAGTTAAAATACAGATAAAATAATAATTTAAAAAATCTTAAATACTTAAGATAATATATAAGTTAACTACTATTGATTAGCTGTTCCAAGATAGTAACATCCCATACACACACTCTTGGTAGAGGCAAATTCAGTAAAATGCAACATTTCTCCAGGAGGAAAGAACATAAAAAGAAAATTCTGCGAGAGAGAGAGAACTCATGTTTTGCTGTAGCAGGGAAAGATGTATAGCATCTTCCAAACTTCAACAGCTACTGAAAGCTAAACTAAGATCCTAGTTCTGTGGGAGCTTGACCTCCCGAACCCATCCCTTCATCTGCTTCTATTGTTCCAACTTGAAAAAAAAACCCAAGGCCTCACAAGCTATTTACTTTATTGGCTTGGAACAGATAGCTCGGTACCTCTCTTCATAAAAAAAAGGACAAAATACACCTCTTAAAGCCATAGTATCGTCACACCTCCCTCCCTAAAAAAAGATCAATTTACAAAGATGGCTTAAATTTTAAAAACCTTTAGTCTTATGCTATCAGTACACTACAATGCTTATACATTACATTGATTCTAAGCATGCATACATACAATACTACAGTCCATTTCAATCCATTTCTTCTGCCACCAAACTCCTCCAACTTCACTCACCAAAGTCATGACAATGTGTCAGCAATTATGAGGCAATGCACTCAATGCTGAGGAGCCAGAGGCAAAAGCAGTAACCTTCTGAGGAGGAGGAGGACAAGGACATTGCAGAAGAAAATGTTCTGCTTATGTATGACAGAGCTCAGCTGTGTTGGGTGCTACAGACCAGACAAGACCTGACTGACACCCAATCATGCTGCAGCTACACAAAACCATGCTTAGAGAACTTGGAGAACTGTGAGCAGATCTGGCCACCACATCTGATAAAGGATATATTGGCCTTAGAAGAGGTACAATGCAGATTTATAAGAATGATACCTGGACATTACGAGGAGAAATTATACAAATTAGGCCTGTTTTCTCTAGAATTTAGAAGTTTAAGAGGTGATCTGACTGAAGTCTTCACGATATTAACAAGAAAAGACAAGATAGATACTGGTTGTAAATGTTAAAGTTGGGGATATAATCTAAAGATTAGAGCCAGATCTTTCAGGAGAGATATTTGGAAGCACTTCTACATACAAAGGGTGGTAGAGGTTTGGAACTGTCTTCCACAAACTACAGTTCATGCTAGATTGTTTGTTATTTTCAAACTTGAGATACATAATTTTTTTTATTTAGCAAAGGTATTCAGGGATGTGGGCCAAAGGCAGAGATGTGGAGTTAAGCCACAGACCAGCCATGATCTCATTTAATTGCTGAACGAGCTTGAGGGGCTGAATGGCCTATGTTCCTATGCTCCTATGTAGATAAGAACTGGGTGCAGCAGACCATCACAGAATGTAGAATAGTCATTGGTCATGATACCAGCATTTGGTCTGCACTGTGGGAGTGAGTGGTGAGTTGTCCTAGGTAAAACATAAGGCGAATTGTCATCCCGGTGTCATGGGTAATTGATAAACCAAGTTTCCTAAGATATAATCAGAAATCTTGCTCGGCTTCTTGATGAACAACCCTCCAAAAAGCTAAGTGCAACTCAAACTTGGACAAAAAAAGTCGTAAGATACAGTCCAAATTGACATTCCATTAGTCCTTATACATACATGCACGTACACAAACATTGCATGTTTTCTACTACTGTATCTCCAAATTTATGTCCCACTAAACCACACTGACCATTCCCTTCTCTCATTACACATGTTATACTGAGGTGTGTCATACATTTTCAAAAACTTTTGGCAGGATACACACAAACCCACTTCTTGCAGAAGTTGGCGTGCAAATGGAGATTTCAAGAGAAAGACCAAGTTACATTGCAAACTTTGGAGATTTCAACATCACTTTCAATGTCACTGGGAGAGAAAGAGCAGGGAGCATTACAGAAGTCGTGTTGGAAGCCAAATTTAGGAGAATGTTTATACTTCTTTGTTGCTTTTTTACTTTGTACTTTACCCTCTAATGCAAACATATGTACACAATGACATCTTGGTTCTGGATTACCCTGTCACTAAGCACCTATTGTTTTCTCTTAACACTATGTACAAACGCTTGTCCCTGTTCCCTTTTTCAAACACATAATTTGCGTCATTACATTGTTCATGGGGAAACTATGAAAGCAGTTGATCTAAAGTGGCATCAGTGAGCTGCAAGCTAACCAATACAGGAGTTGGAGGTAAAGTTCAGATTCCAGTGTACTTCACTACAATGGACACTGCTACTCAAGGCTGGCTTTTAGTTGCCGATCTTACTGCAGATGCTGAAACAGCTCTGTGCTAATCTCCCTATATAAGTGAATCTTCCTTGATAACTGCTTCTCAGTGACCTGCAGATATGTTGTCCTCAACCTATGGAAGCACTGTTCGTAGGGTGTGTTCCTGTAGACTCTACACCTTCATTTGTACTTTCTGGAGTTGTAGCTGTCTTTGTCCACTTGTCATGTTGCATCTTCCCAAGCTCCTTGTCCTCTCACCAGAGTGTAATTGGACTCAATAAAGAAAGGGGTGCTTTGCCTGAAGCACTTTAAGAATTTGGAACATTATACAGCCACTGCCAGCAACTTAATAGTCTAAGTAGCTACAAACTGCTTGTAACAGAAGAAATATGTCCCAAAGATTTCTAGCTTCTAGCCAATATCAATCAAGAAATCTTGCTAATTCAAATTTTTTTTTAACTCCTGGGTTGTTATTTGGTTAAGGCCAGCATTGATGACCACCCTTGACAAAGTGAGCATAAGCCACCTTCTTGAAATGCTGCAGTCTATCCAGTGTAGCAAACTCCCACAGTGCCGTTTATAAGGAAAATCCATATTTTGACCAGTGACATTGAAGGAAATGCAATGTAGTTCCAAATTAAGATGGTGTGTGGCTTAGAGGTGGACATAAAGATGGTGATGTCAGCTTGAAAATTAGAATGGATTGCCAGCTGACAGTAAGTCACCAAGTGATTTTGGTCACACTGCCATAATAATAAAACTAAAATTGCACCAGCATGTCTCTCCTTCTGAATATGCAACATTTGAATTGAAAATGCGCCATTAATATTTAAATTCACCCTCCTGGAAACCCACTACAACCCTCTTAACTGTTGGCTGATATTGTGATAGAAAGCTATTGGCGTAACCAAAGTGAAAGGAGTAGCCTTGCGGGAGTGAAAGGCAGAATTCTCTAGATATAGCAGAATTGATTGAATGATCTGTTATGCACAACAGGTTCAAAGTAGGCAATGTAAAAAGCAGA